GAGCCGGTGGCCTTTTCAATTTTACTTTAATGACCGGAGCATGAGCATTATATAAACTATGAACAATATCATTGATTATAGACACGTTCTCGTCAACCGTAGAAGCCATTGCCAAGGGAGTAAAATTTGTAATAGCCGCATCCTCAAGGAGTCTTTCCATGTTCAATTTTCTGAAGTTGCGGTAGTATATATAAACGGGGATAACTTTAGGAGGTTTAATCTTATACGAAACATAAATTAGATCGTGACGAGAGAATCCTGGAGCGGAAAGTTGACCAAGAGAATTGTTGGTCAAGAGAATTCGTTAAAATAAGATCAATAAGTGAGTCGTCAGCGTCGATATTGTGATGTGTTGCCTTTAAAGTTGGAATGGTAAGATCTACTGACTCAATCATTGTTTGAAGTCTTAGAGAACGTGAAGAATTTTTTAATAAGTCAGTATTTAGATCACCCATGATTACACAGTGTTTTTGCCCGGACATAACGTTATCGAGAGCCGATTCCAAATTGCCGAAATAATCTGTGGAGGGTGGGCAGTACACTACTCCGAGAATCATCCTATTGCCTTTGACATTCAGTTCTAGGAACAAAAATTCTGCAGAGGCGGAATAAAGCGAAGAGGAGGCCATGGCAATTTTGTACCCTATAGATTTGTGTAGATAAATAGCAACCCCTCCTCCCCCTTTATTTACACGATCATTACGATAAAGTACGAAATCTGTTAATGGAAATAATGCAGAATTTAGGGACGGTTTTAGCCAGCTTTCAGAGATAAAAATTACGTGTAAATGGACAGATGAAAATGTCTCTTGAAGTTCAAAAAGTGACTTGGTATACTTTGAGCATTAATATGACAGACAATTGAGTAAAGTCGAAAGATAACTTATCGGGAATTGCTAAAATACACATAGATTCACTGCCTATAAGCTTGTTGTGAGACAAATAACTTTTCCACTTTAAAGTATCCCAGTTTATACCGCTCAATAATACCGTATTGCAATTTTCAATCATTTTCTGTAATTTTCAATAGAAGGCAAAGAAATTTGACGTAACTTAGCGCAATGTTGAGGTATTTTAAATATTTCTGCGTTTCGTCTGTTGAGTCAGGAATTCGATGCCCCAAACTTTTAATGGTTGGTAATGCATATGCAACACCCCAAAGGGTGACGGCAACTTCTTACCATCGCAAGAACCTTTTACTGCTGCTCATAGATATGCTCAACACACTTAATGGCCAGTAAACTTGCAGTTGCGTTTTAGTTTACGAGAGAGTAATTCTGGTTACGTCACTCAACTTCAGACAACACATCTGACTTCTTGAGTCTTCTACAAGGCATTAGACTAGAGTGGTTTAATCCGAAGAGTAAATGCATTAATTGCAAAAGTAACTGCATTCAATTACGAGTACTGCGGTAAATAATTATTTATTGCTTTGTTTTATTATGATATATACAGAGCCAATTCCATTCTAAGTTTTACTCAAACACGTTCGCTCATTTTAGAGCTCAACTAAAACGAACACATATATAAAATACTTAACTATTTATTATATTAGTCTTATTAAATTGTAACGTCTAATTTATTTAATTCAAATACAGTTACTGCTCATTGTTTGACATTAAACAAGAACCTCACAATGTAATTCAAACGCGACCGTCGTTAAATTCCCTAGATTTTTCAATACAAAACTCCAGCAGCACAAAACGACAGTCCGCTAAGACAGGAGGTCGAATACCCGAAATTTTCAATTCCGCAAAACGTTCCGGCCGATTTGTTCACTGCCTCGGAAACAATGGAGACGGTCGGAGTGCTTTTCATATAATAAATTATAGTCGCGAATTGCGAACGATAATAACTTTTATTGGTGCTGTTAGAATAGCTCTCTCTATTGTCTGCTGTCTAACCAATTTATCTCTATTGGTACCTTAAGAAATTTCGAATAAACCCCTTAGATTCATTTGAATTTCTGCGAGCGCTGTATTATTTCAATGTCTTTCTTAAAACCTAATGGTTTCCTTTCAAAACGCTTTTGTTCGCTGAGATAAATAGAAATTGTAAGAAGCTTTAAACGAATTAAATCTATGATATAATGTAGTAGTTAAAATTCATTATTGAATTATTCTTTTTAATTCTATTTTATTAACAGTATCTCGCCTGTTGGATTCCTTCTGTACCAAATGTCCTTTTCTTTCACTTTACCCTATCAACCGTCATCCCTTTACTCACCTATATCAAAGACATATCAATCTTCACATATTCCGCCCAAATCTTTCTCAGTCTTCCTCCAGCTTTAAACCTTCCAACCACATTCATACTCATCACTCTTCTAGTCACATGACTGTTATCTCTTCTCATAACGTGCCTATATCATTGCCACCTTGTAGTCTCAATGCGAATACCAAACCGTTCCCAAAGTTGAAATTTCAGATAACCTAATCTATATAGATGGCTCCGTGGCGCAGTTGCCAAGGTATTGGCTTCGGCGTCGGGGATCGTGGGTCAGATTCCCACACAGGATAAGTATTTGTGTGACCCACTGATAGTTGTTTCGCATCTGGGTGTTTGTCCGCTTGAAATTTATGTTTGTAAAACGTCCTTACAACACAGCATAATATTATCCTAAAGTAAGGGAAACGTTTTTTTTTTAAAAAATCATAAAATTATGATAAAAATGATATAGACTATACAAATCACAAAATGTTTCTAATCCATTACAATAAAAAATAAAAAATAACACTAAGAAACAACAAAGAGAATTGTAACTAAGCAAAGAGGAAGACAATAATCAAAAACTCGATACCTGATAGTGAGAGGCTTAAAAAAACGGTATCACATACTTACTATTTACTTCCGTTAAATACAAAACTCACAAAAAAGCTCTTGCAAGAATAAGGGGAGATGCAATAAAACCTTAAAACGTGTGCCACATTCAGAGTTTTAGTACTATGTTAATAACACGTCATTTAGTACGTGTGCACCAAATCTTACCTTATCTTTGGCGTGAAGTAAGCGACGAAGGGGACAAGGGGGGCTTAGGGACACCACTAACATGATGCGAGACTTTAGCGGGGTATGTTTGAAAGATAAAGAGTATATTGAAAGATAAGATAAAGAAGTTAACCTTAGTAATACCTTTCAAGCGCATACTGCATATACAGCGTGTCTTTACAATCGCGACAATAAATGAACTTTTTAAAATTGTATTAAGCATTTACATTCTTTATACATCAATATTCACCGAGTTATTAAATTTTCCAAAACAAACAATTTTAGAACACTGTAACGTAGGAGGATATTAACTACAAACTGTAACGTAAAGTTCATTTGTAAAGATCACAAAGTATATGAATGGATTGAATGAATTTAAAAGAGAGAAAATACTACTGTTAGAAGGAGAGGCTTGTAATGCGACGCTGTGGCAACGAATGAAAAAGTCTCTGAATGTATGAATCAGTCAGTTGTAGTTGTATAGGATGTTACAAATTTTGTTTCTTTTTTACTTAATTTGTTTGCTTGAAAAATATTTTTTTTTTAATTATGGATGTTATTAACGTTAATATTTATTTATGATTATTGGCAAGTCGCATTAGACGTGTGTTCATTTATTGTCGCTGTGGTAACGACACGCTGTATATAACGGTTAACGATTTTACGGCTAGAACCTTAACACCGTCGTCAACGTTGTATTACAAAATGTGAAATAAAATCGTACCTTGAATTAGGTTGATTCGGAGTGAAAAATACTGGAATAGAAATATGTCAACAACCCTAGAAATTAGCTGATATATAAACAGAAAACCTTAGGCGCAAAGTCAACATCCACAGGATCTACTCAATACCTCGCTGTACTGCTTCCAATTTATTACTTTCAAACAGATTAATGGCAGAGCAAAATATGACATTGTTTTCTGAACATTTTAACATTATCTTACTGAATAGATATTTCAGGACATATTTGTACATTTTGCAACATCATCTAATCCAGTATTATTAGATTAGAGTAACAGACCGGTATTCTAATCTTCACTTTTCACTTTCAATTTTTCTTTTCTTCCCTTTCTCATTCTTTACAGCCTTCTGCGCTGAGTGCCTCTTTTATATGGACGAATTTCATTCAGTTTATTTCAATATTATTTATTATTATTTATTTCATTTATGTAGAATGTTCTGGAGAAAGGACTTTTAGGAGTCGAATTTTGATCACCTTTTTATGTATTTTTCGCAAATAATAAGTTTAGATCATAAAAGTGTACTTTAACATGCTTTTTTTTACTAAATTAATACATATTGTAGATCTGTAAATACACAGACTTAAGATACAGAGGACCATGCATTAAAAAATTCCAGTAGTGAGGATCGAATCGACACCCTCTAGCGCAGGAAAAAGACTACTATCAGCTCCATACATTACGCCATGTCACTGAATCGAATGATAGTCTAGTTCCAAATATACAGTATTTAAAATTTATACATATTCCAAATAAAATTTCTTGCTGGTTCTTCTCAGGTATGATTAACTAGCATTTAACCGCGGCTTCGCCCGCGCGGCCAAATGGAATTAACAATGAGTTTTTTTTATTTTACATCAGAATATCACTTATCATTACCTATATTTTGAACAATTCACATAATATCTTTATAAATTATAGCCTATGTATTATTCTGATGTATAAGCTATATTATTACAGTGTCATTAAAATCTATTCTGTACTTTTTGCGTGAAAGAGTAACAAAAATTCATCCATACATACAAACTTTCGCCTTTATAATATTAGTAAGGATTATACCAGAAAAGATATAACGGTAAATTTCCGATTACACTAATGGATCCCTGAAATACTGCTCTAAATACGTTGATGGTGTAATTAAAATACTTTTCTTGTTACAGATAAACGATGCAAAAGAGGAAACGTCAAAGGAAGAGAAAGATAAAATTAAGCAGCCTGAGATGGATGAACTTTTGGAATATACAACTTAACTTTGAATAAATACAGTTTAAAATGGCCCTAAAGTGTTTATGCCCTGCAACGGGCGGAGTTTCTAACAGGAATCTGTTAATCGTGTTTCTCTTCTTGTGCCAGACTATAGTTTGTGACAGTCAATGTCCAAAGTTTGCGGAAAAGCCCCTGGAAACACGAGTTCAAGATGCTTCTATTGTTTTTAGAGCGGTGGCAGTGCAGGCCCATTTCCAGGTGAGTTGTTAACGTTATCTCTCAAATTTGAACATCAACTAATATTTCGTAATTATTCTTATTAACTATCACATTTCAGCAATGCAGTTAGTTAAATGGCATCTATAGTTCATAATGAACAATTATTTAAATTACTTTATTCAGCTTAACTGATATGTAAAAGACGGATTAGTTTTTTTTTAAATTCTAACTATAGTGGGACCACGCAACAGTCTTCGCTGTGCTTGAATGGGCAGGCCCGTCCGGGGAAGCACGACGACCTCACAGAAGGCAGGGAGTGCAAGAGTTATATTTCTGCGTTTCGTCAGGTGAATGGGGTAACCTGGACCACTCTATTGTAAGATGGCAACGCATCTGCAACACTACGGGTGTTGCAGACGTCCATGGGCATTGCTTCCCATCTTCTTACATAAAAAAAGTCTTTCTTAGATAATACACTAGATAAATTTATAAACAACCAAACGAATATTGATCCATTTCATACCTCACCAGCGGTGGCCAAGGCACTTCTTACTAAAGACCACTTTGTCACATAATATATATATATATATATATATATCCAGGCGAAATCAAAACATATATTTATATATATATATATATATATATATATATATATACATATATTAGCTTTACTGTTATTTTACCATAATTATGTTCATGCCATTGTACTTACGTGTCTTTTTTTATTCCTTGTATTTATTTATTTTCTATAGTAACTGTAATTTAACATTTCTAAATGTGAAAACTTATAAATGGCTTCTTTAGTATTTAATATCACTCAATTATCTTTTTTAATAGCTGTAAGTTTTCCGAATAAATTAAAATAAGAAACATTGACAAGAGATAAAATGTAACATTTTATCTCTTATCAATGTTTCTTATATTGGTCAATGTTTGCCAATAAAAACATAACCTCATCAGCCTTTCTTCTTGTTTATCTTTCATTAAACACATCTGTTTAATGTAAAATATTAAGGCAGGCGTTCATTTTATTTTAATTTTACAAATTAATTAATAAACGAATACTTCATCAACCAGATGAACATAAATAAATACGATGTTTCGTTTCATCGAATATTGTAATAAGAGAGCAAACCGGAAAATTAATGTAATTCGACGATAAGCGACATAAATTATTACGTCACCGCAGACTGTTATGAAAACAAATTTTATTTCGTGTTTATACATATTAAATGCAAATGCAATCAGTGTTCTGTGTTCAATCCAGCATGAAATTATTCCCGATGAGTAATTATTACTCCAGCCGAAATCAAATCTGAAAAATTAAAAAAAAATACACTGCGTCACGCCTTTATTTTTATTACGATTTATTTATTTGTGTTTAAAATGGCTTCCGAATTTATAGATATAGTCAACAAATAATATGAAAATAAAATGTGATGGATTTCAAAAAAAACGAATTCAAGGACACCACACAGCTACCATACGTGGAAAATTACGAAAAAAGTTAAAAACAAAAATCAGTACGTGCCAAAAAGGAATGGAGCACATTATGTTGAATTTAAATAAAATGCACTAAATAAGAAATTATTTTAAAGTTATAGACGTGCTGACATATACACAGACACTAAAATTCATATAGTAATATGCAGAACGGGACCATAACTGTCTCAACATGGAATGGCCGTGGACCCTATATGAGATGGAAAGAAGACATAAAGAAGATAACAGGATCAAACTAGTTACGATCAGTAAAAAATTGAGATGAATGGAAATACTTGGAGACCTTTACTTGCATGGTGATTAAATATTATACTTACCAAATAATCTTGGTAAGATTACTAAACAAACCGTTTTCATATTAAAATATTAAGTACCTGGAGGAGCTTTGCTCGGTTTTTTTTTGTTGGTAAATCGTGTATTTTGGAAATAAAAAAATAAAAAATAAAGAAAGCAATGATCCGGTATAGAAAAAAAAGTAAAAAACAAATAAATGTGTAAATGATCGTGACACGAACCGCGGCCTTCTGTTTCGGGGCCGCCCGATTATCGACCGAGCTACTATAACATTTTTTTTCTGGCGAAATTTACCGTCATATTCGAATGATATTTTTCATTCCCTAAAAACAGGGATAAAAGGACATTTTCTAAAAATGAAACCTAGCTAAATCGATTTTTCGCCGCCGAATCAACGCACATACCAAATTTTATGAAAATCGCTGGAGCCGTTTCCGAGATTCCGATTACATATATATATAGAAATAACTCTACCTAAGATATATTCCATACGTAAGAAATACCTTCAAGGCACATGCTCTTTAACTACAAATGCATGTCCACTAACCAGTAGCTGGTATTGCGGTCTAGCATTTGTCCAAATATTAGTATTAAAACAATATTTTAACTTGAGCTTTTTCCATTGTACATAAAAATGTTTGACGCAAAGTTTCCTACTTAATTCAAAAGTTTATTAGTTTTCAAAAATTTTAATCGAACAGTACGTATTAGTGGGGCGCTTAGTGCAAACATTGCAAATTGGATTGTTGGAACTTTCAGGTGTGTTACTGGAGTTAATTATAATGATGAAATTATCAAAAATTATATTAACATGTACATATGTACACAGAACCACATAGTTTAATTTTAAACATGGGTGTATTTATATAAACTTTATAAACATTCTTTACAAAAATTTTGGTCATGACGTTACTGGTATAAAAACACAGTGTTCAGGTTTTTAGCTTCAAAAAGCTATACAGAATTGTGATGTAGTCGTAACATAAATGTAACATGTTTCACCGTACTTTTGTCTTGTCCATGTTTAACCGTACTTTTTTCTACAACGCGCACGATGGGCACATTTGTGAGACAGCAAGTAATAAATCTCAAATACTTCAAAACTAGTGGACTACTCTGGAATTTGAAGAATAAGATCGCAAAATTGACATCCCATTCACTGTCCATTCTTTTAAATACAATCTTAAGCATTTATATAATAAAATGACCAAATTACAAAAAATATAAGTAATTAAAACAAATAAAAGGCATTCCTCTTTTAAATTCCATACATTACTAAAAATATTGATATGGTCAAAATATACTGTACTAAAAATAAGTTTATTTAAATAAGTGAAAATAGTAATATACAAGAACTGGAAGCTTGCATTTGCTACATCACGCGTGTTAATTGGAAACATCATACAACAGGAATAAACTTACGTTATTTTCGAAAGCACTACACGTGAAATCCGTTTATAAAAACGGCACACATAACCACTAATGGAATCGATGAATATTGCGAACTATTTGCGAAATTATATAATGGATTCCTTTGATGAATCGAGAAGGGTATTAAAAGGGGATTTTTCGTACCCTTTACTTTGCTAACATACAACAATTTTTCATAACAAATACCCTGAAGCTGTTTTGCGAAGTGGTTTGTTACTTTTGAAACTGACGATGCCTTTACCTGGAATTTTATTCGACTAACAAAGAAAATTGTTGTTAAACGTAAAGCAGTCTTATTTTAACTATTTCATATAATTTTATCAAATTCCTTAAATGTTAACTTCCTTACAAACTTTCCTATTAGTATAGTTAAATTAATTAACCGACTTCATAAAGGAGGAGGTTATCAATTCGGATGTTTAGATTTTTTTTTAGTAGGGTTTGTCACTTAACATACTCTTTCCTAAAAGGCCGGCAACGCATTCGTAAGCCCTCGGGCGTTGCAGATGTCCATGGGCGGCGGTGATCACTTACCATCAAGTGAGCCTCCTGCTCGTTTGGTGCTTTTTCCCATTAAAAAAAAATATCAAATATCTTCGTCATATATAGACGGATTTGCAAAATTTATTTTATTCGAAAGGATTTCATTCCGAAATGGTCCCATATAAATTTCATACCATATGGTGATCTATATACATAGATCTGATGACTATTTTCGGATTCTTCCAAATATGATAGGAAATTAACGACGCAAAAAACTTTTAACTATTTAGTTACTGATTCCACTGGTGTTTTAATCCCTCTGACGCAAAAGCCATATTGAGATTATTTTAATTAATGTAGACTTTCTATGTCATTATTCTGTAAATAATAATTCCTTTTAATTTAAGTACTGATTTGTCACGTGCTCAGCGCTTAAGGCAAACAACACGTAAGGAAACCTGCATATGTTTCGAAATAATAACAAAAAAAAAATATTCTCCTCTGTACAGAGGAGGCCACTGTCTAGTAATGGGACATTTATAGGCTGTTACTTTACTATTTTTTAATTTCCACTCTTCGGATTCGAAGGGCGAAACATATAAATACAAATCTACTAGAAATATCTAGAAATGTCATTGAAAATAAAGTTCTTGATGTGCAAACGTCACGAATTTTTATCCGATGTGTCGTACATTTATCGTTATATTATTGACCACATTCAGGGCGTTAATAAAGTACGTGATATATAAAAAGTACAACTTTTACTCTGGGATCTGGAAAACGAAACTCTGAAAGACACGGCATCTAAGCATCTACGAGGCATATACTTACAGAGACACAACCTTTAAAACGTGAAAGTTTAATACTTAAACTTCACGAAGGTCTTCTGTAAGGCCGTGGTAATTACCCGGAAGGGCCTGGCCATCCGTGCTACAGTAAAATTTTGTAAAAGTACATGTATATGATAGAACTGTCCAAATAATATGACTGCTATCGGATACAAAGTTAAAACATTAATTTTTCGATACTCACTGAAGATCTAAGACAAATAAGAAAGGAGGCAATAACAATAAGAAACAGTAGAATAAATTAATACGATAAACTGAATAGTTATTACAAAGCAAATATTTAATTCTAAATTAAGTAGTGAAGATGCCGATTAATACAACGGCCTCACGGAACACTATGATAACACTATAAACAATATCGTAAATTTTAGATATTATATATGGACGTACCTGCTTGCCAACTATTCACATAAAAAAATATCTGGACCAAGTCCTCATTTTGATTTCGATTAGGCGATAAGTACTATGAATTATATCACCAAAATTAGTAATGTGCGCGATAATTTACGTTTAGTATTAATAAAATTATATTGTATAAGTTTAAATTTTTTATCCGATAGTATCGTATATAAAATACCGTAAAAAGTACTAGTACAGTTAGTTATGAGGGTAAGGTTCGTACCGTAAAATATATGAATAATGTTTATAGGTCGACCTAAAGTCGAGGTAATACAAAAATTTTCACCGCACCTGTGTTACATTACACAGACTGAAATTATTTTTATCTATTGATTTTTTTTTCACTACATGCTCTATGTATGAATAATTGGTAATTTTATTGGACAGAAGACATAAGCGTGTCATTTATAAATGCTTCCCAAGCCGGTAATACTTTCGATATTTAGTAAAACTTGGGAAAGAGATTTTCGTAGCAATGTTAAAACATTAATAAAAACGAAATTTATCATCTTTCGTGACACGAGATTATTATAAATGAGTAAGTAGTACTTTGAGAAATGAGAAGGCCTGAGCAACATCATTTTTATCTGTTTAATGTCACTTGCCTTGCGTGAAGTAGTACTAATTATGCATTATACTAGGGCTATAGCACGAATAGGCAGGTCCGTCCAGGTGAGTACCACACCAAAGACCGGCGTAAAGTGAAAATGTATACGTCTGCGTTTCGTCTGGTGATCACTCACTGGTAGCCGGGCTCCACTTTATTATAATGTCTTTGAAAACCTGCGGGTGTTGCAAATGTCCATGGGCATCTGTTATATCACTTAACATCAGGTGTACCGCCGGCTCACTTGCCACCTTCTCACATAAAAAAGTAGTCCTGCCTCTAAATAGAGTATTGTAAGTAGGCCTGTTTAATTTAAAACTATGTTACAGTTATGACCAGGTAGTTCATAGTGGTGATTTATTACAATCTACAATCTATATATAATCGGAATCTCGGAAACGGCTCCAGCGATTTTCATGAAATTTAGTATGTGTGTAGATTCGGGGGCGAAAAATCGTTCTAGCTAGGTTTCATTTTTTGAAAATGTCCTTTTATCCCTGTTTTCAGGGAATGAAAAATATCATTCGAATATGACAGTAAATTTCGCCGCAAAAAAAAATGTCAATAGCTCGGTCGGTAATAGGGTGGCCCCAAAACAGACGGCCGCGGTTCGTATCACGATCATTTACACACTTATTTTTTTACTTTTTTTTCGGTTCCAGATCATTGCTTTCTTTATTTTTTTTATTTTTTGTTGATTTGTTATTTTGTTATCTTTTTCCCTTTTTTTTAGTTCTTTCTTTTGTGAAAAACACCAGTTCATATTTTCTTATTATTACGTCGGTAAGATTGAAAAATATTATGCATATTTCATTACTCAGTAATTTGTATCCAAATGTAATTTCCAAAATACACGATTTTCCAAAAAAAAAACAAACCTCCTCCAGGTACTTACATCTTTATCTATTCATTGATCGAATTTTGAAATAAAGGTTCAGATATTCCAATGTACTTTAATGATACAACAATTAACATAACATAATACTTAAAAAACAGACTTATATAATCAGACCTGTGTTAGTAAAAAAAAAACGAATCGAATAATTTTAAAGCCTACGAAAATTATTAATTGCTCGAGGCTTTTGTCCCTTCATCCTTCATCGGGCAACTGGCGCTCCGAGTAGAATGTAAAATCTGAATGAGTGAACAACGCTGATATTCTACCCCAGCTTGACACTAACTTTAACTAAATGAACACAATCGTGTTAATCAACAATAAGCAAATTTAAATTATTGCAAATAATAATAAGATTTGAAAATTAAAATGACAATTGTTAAAAAAACTTCATCATTAAACCCTAAAATATGCCAACAAATCATTATAATAAAAAATATCGCCTACAACGTAACTATTTTTTTTTTTACAAAACCACTGCTCTTACTTTAGGATAAGATTATCCTGTGTTGTAAGGACATTTTACAAACATATACTTACTTTACGTGGACTAACAACCAGAAACAACTATCTAAATCACGAGACAACTATCTGTGGATCACACAAATAGTGGTCCCATGTGGGAATCAAACCCACGACCTCCAACGCCGAAGCCGATACAGTGGCAACTGCGCCATGGACTCAACAAATTCCTTACCAAGACGGTGCCAGAAAGTTATATCTATCTGGTATGGCTATCCTGTATCTATCTTGCATCCCCTCGTATCGTGACTCCAAGGGTTTTGATTCGCTTACGTCGTTTTAGTGTCGTTAATTAAAACTGCGTCTGTGTCCGATCGATCGCTAGTTACGTAATTAAATACTGATATTTTTCGAACACTTATTGTTTTCGTTAGTCGATATATTAAGTTTTCCATATAATTTCCGTCTCGCCATTAAATCGCAATTTTAACCGGATTATTTCGTTCAGATAGTTTTCACACGGGGAAGCGGTTCACCTTACGTTACGTTATTATCGCAACCCAAGGACATCAACAACTCCATAGGGGTTGCAAACGCGTTACTTGCTTACTACTTCCTGACCGTTATCGGTCACGGCGACTGCTTCAGCTCCGGTGGTTTATGCGGTTCATGAGCTCTAGCGTGGCTCACATGACCAATTTTGTTGACAAATGTCCTCGCGCATAATGGACATGTGAGCACACCACTGACATGATTGTAGATTATTGCCGCAGGTGGTCGGGCTTTCAGCTCGTCCCGTCCGACGTCTAACTCAGTACATCAACGGGACTCAAATTGAAAGGTCTTTTTTTTACATAAGACCTCTATTTAGAACGGTTGGCTGCATGCTTCTCCCACTGTGACGGGTCAATACCACAGTCTTTCATATGGCGCTTGAGCACATCTTGTACCTGAGGAGTTGTCCTCCGTGCTTTCACTTTCCCTCCTCAAGTTCTGAAAACTCAAACGCGTTACAAATCATGCAAAGAGAACCGCACGGCTACCTCATTCACCAGACAAAATATAAAACTAAAGCATTTCCAATGCGTCTTTGGACGAGCCTGCCCATTCGTGCACCAGTGGAATCTACGCAACGGCTTCCACTGGTGCACGAATGGTCCCACCAAAATTTAGTTCTTTATACTATGGAATTCAACAGATATTTGGAACGTAAAATGAACCAACTAACGATAGACAATAATTGTTAAGTACAAATCATTTACTGTTAGGATGCAAAAGCATATGCATGAAATTCCAAATCATAAAAATATTATTATCATGTTGAAAAGTTCAGAATATTGGATTGTTTTGAATAGAACTGTTAATTCTTTTTAATTTATTTGTTTCAGAGTAAGACCTTAGATTTGGCTCTGGTGTCAATTTATAGAGGGGGAGTTGAGCTTGCATCAGTGAGCCAATATTCTGGTTCACCTTATAACACTACAGATAGGTAAGTTATGTACATCAAAATAATAATGTATTTTGAAAACTACAGTCTATGACGAAATCCAGTCCAATTTTTGTTTATTTATATGTTTCTGAAACAAATATATACATAAGAGAGTAAAAGAGAAGTTATAATGAATGTGTTCAGTTAAACTCACGTGTGTAGAAAAATATTACACTTTCCTCTCTATGTATTTTTTTAATGAAGAATAACGTTTCTTTTAATTTTCATGGGGTAACAAAACAGAGCATAAGATTAATTTATGTTCACAGTGATGCTAGATTATTGTTCACTGTCAAAATAAAACAATGTAACATCAAGCAACTGGCAAACAACCTACGCCTAAGCCCTCGCCTCGTTCAAGTTCCAAGCTAGTGTAGATTGGCGGGAAACTCGATTAAGCAAACAAAGTTCTTAGCAAGATCGCGATCCGTATAATTAAATTTTCTTGGCAAAAGTGCTGTGTGGCACGAATACTCAGCATTTTCATTACTGTCGTGCCTATTCACAGTAACTATAAATATTTAACACTACACATTTCAAAAAGGTCACATAAGTTAACAGAGGAGATGTCTTTCGCTTAGTATTGACTGTTAAAATCCTAAGGACCTACGTCAGACCGTCATAAAAAAATAAAGTCATTCAAAGAGCACAACATTGTGACAGTTTGGTGACGCAGCAGCCTCGATTGTTGCACAAATGGGCAGGCCCGTTCGGGTGAGTACGACGACCTCACAGAAGACCAGCGTAAAGTGCAAGTATGACAAACACTTTCGCGTTTCGTCTGGTAAGTGTCAGGTTGTCAACGCATCTGCAAACCCTCGGGTTTGGCAGATGTCCATGGGCGGAGGTATTCACTTAACATCAGGTGAACCGTCTGCTCGTTTCACAACTTTTCGCATAAAAAGAAATAATAAAAAAAGTTTGGTTTATGTGCATATAAAGTTCAGCTTGAAGATGACACCTGTTGATGATGAGTTCAAATTTACCGTGGCAGCTGCTTCAACAGGTTTCAAAGATGTGATTGAAAAATGTAAACTTTTTCAGATGTAACTTTTGCCTTTTTTCCATGGAAATTTTATAAAATAGTATGATTTGTAATAGTTATGCTTTTTTATGAATCTTATATTGGAGGTAGCTCAGCGTAGGGACACAGCGTGAACAGCTTGAATAAAAAAAATATTACGTTTGCCAAGCAACAATGGTTGGGTCAAAAGCCACACTGCATTAACTTAGGTATTCATATGAATGTTAATTTACGTCTTATCCTAGTAATGTAGTCAATATTACTAATATTATATTAATAATTTATATTTATTTTTCATTTTTCTCGTGATATATATGATCGTAATAAAATTATACGAAATAGTTTACGAAAATTTTAGTCTTGGTGAGATGTTATAAAATTTATTTCACTATTTTAATTAGCATGCGCGGTCGAGCATTTTAGAAATAAGTGGGGTTGAGTTATTCTAGGATAACATCACTTCAATATAATGGAGCAGATTTTTGATGTAATGAACGCTATCCACTCGTGCCTATATTTACGATGGTCATTAGTTAACATACATACATATGTATCAGATAATTATAAATATAATAGCGTTATTATAAATAAAAAAATGAAACATATATATAGGATTGCAAGATAATTAAATATTAAGATTTGTGGGTTCATAATTATGAATCCACAAATCTCATAACACGTTATGGGGCTATGTTCTCTTTTATTATGTTTAATTTCGAATGAGTGGTACATTTTAAATTTATAATCATTAAACTAATATATCGGAAATATTTAGTATTTTTAATATCGGGAGGCCTTTTCCCAGCTGTGGAAACTGTATGGACTGTTAGTTTACTATACTTATTGAAGGAAAAAACTGTAACAGCAGACATAAAGGTGTCAAGACAGTTATTGTAATCTAGGCACGCGCTCCGAAACTGTTATTGGATATTCAAACCCTTAGGGCTGTTAAATTGTCCGGTGGAAATTTGAAACTTACAAAGCGAAAAGCGTGTTAAAGTTATCAAATCTTTTCAAAGGGGTTGAAATAGGATGCGATCACTCGCAAAAAGGTTTTTCACTTAATGCAACCATGCTGGGAAAGTAATAAACTGTTTTTCATTACTAGATAAAGTACAAAAATAACCTGGTTTACGAAGTCTCAAATTTAATAAAAAATTAAAGGGTATGTACCTAAATTGAATGAGTTTGTCACAACACACTAGGTTTATTTATCATAGGAACGAAGATAACGATTGAAGTGGAAATCACTTCGATCGTTCGTGATCTAAACACGACATGCCTGTCACAGTTACGTCCTAATTTATTCTTTCATTTCGCTAGTTTTCGTTCAATAGTTATGTAGCATGAAAATAAAAAACAGTTTTTAGATTTATTCTTTAAAAAAGACATGGTCAGGTAACAGGTAAGGTGACTTACATACAAAAAGTAAAGTCACACAGCCTATTTTACTCCCGCTGTTGGGCAAAGGCGACCCCACTGAAGATTGGCAGACTTCACATATCTTCGAAATATTTTTTTTGCTACTATTTCCTACACCGCTGAACACGTGATAATTCAGCAATTTTATTGGTGCATCGGGATTTGACCTCCGATTTCTCGAGAATATTTAAATATTAAGGAGGCTTGGTATGGCCTGAGTGGAAAAATAACCTTCAAATAAATCTTTATAGAAATAATATAATTATAACGTAAAAATAAAAATGTAATATTTAATTATAAATGTGAAATAAATGATAAAACGTTTGAAGCTTACTTGCATCATAAAACATAAAAAAGGATCCCAGTCATTGTATATATACCTTTAAATTCGTTGCGTAATCTTGGATTATAGCCATGTTCTTTTTAAGAAACAAACCTTGACATTGAAAAATTTAAAGTACATTAAATAGCGATAAACTTTGCAAAAATCATTTATATAGGTTTGAATTTTCCAAACGAAAATATTATAAATGGTTCCTTGAAAGAGAAAGTTATAAAAGGTTATTAATTATATTCAAACTTCCGTACCTTTATCTCTTAGGAACTTTCAAGAATAGATTTTTTTTACCAAGCAATTTCTCTAACAAATTTTACTAAGCAAAAAATGCAAGTATTTGCAACTTCTATCATCAGCATCTGGACTGCAATTATCTTGGGGCGCCTAGGGTAACTTACCATTCGAGAAACAGCTATCTCATTTGTCACAGATTGAAATTGAAAGAAGTTGACTCATTGAAACTATTTTTACTATAGACAGGTAAACCTTAAAATCGGCCCTCAACTAGAAGGATGTTTCAACTGGAGCATGGCTCCGTCACAAAGCGAGTTCATTGTATTCGCGAGGATCAGTGACCCAGCCGAGGATTTAGAGACAACCCCAGCTAACGGACCTTGGTTGGAGGCAACGTCCGCGTCCGTTCCATGGAGTTTGGGAGTGGACATTGCTATCTGGAATGCAGTCGGTTTGTTAATTTTCCCCTCATTGAAGAAGAACTTAAATAGCTTTTAAATATTTAACAAGGCATTAATTCTTCGGATAATTTAACAAAGACCTTAAATTAAAAAAAAAAAAAAGATTTATGCCTCCCTTGAGGGAATAGAGAAGCCCTTTATTAAAGAATACACTATAATTTCCATAGGCTCTTTAAAAATTGTCAATTAATTATTATTCTCTAACCCAAGGGCAAAGAAAACCATTCGAATTACTATTTTTTCATCTCAATGTTTAAAAATGATAAATTTTGTACATATTAAATTTAAGTTTTACTTTATGTGTATAGCCATAAAATATTAAATGTCAGACTGTGGATCTGTGTCTAGACTGATTATTAGTTTTTTCATTACTTTTTCTTTCAATAGTACAAATTTGATCATCAGGTTGGGCAGGCTGGGGAGAGTGGGGGGTTTGCAGCAAAACTTGTGGAGGAGGGACACAGACTAGAAAGAGATACTGTTCCAAGGACTTATGCGAGGGCTTTGGGGAGCAGGGCCGATCGTGCAACTCTTTTGATTGTGAAGGTAACTTCGTACCTAAAAAAAATTACAATAATCAAAATTGAGATAATTAAAAGAAAATCTGATAATTTATCATTATGAACTGCATAATAACATAACATTATATTATGTTTTGGTGATGAGTAATATTTAAAATAAATTTCGCACGGATAACCAGCTAGGTAGACAGTAAACGGTGAGGACATATTGTACGACTAGATTTATTATTATTACCAGGAGCGATAAATCCCCTTGCACCAGACGCGAGACGGAACTTTCATCCAACGCAAGCACGATGGCGACCAGTGCGTGATCGACCCCACGCCTTCAGCCTGAGACCAAACACTTACATCTGGATTGCATCGTCAGAGCTCTTTGCACCTGGAAAGGCTTTTCCCTCAGAATTCACGCTATTTGTTTCTTTGAGGCTAAGGCCAGAGGTAAGAAAAACTTCTTTTTTATGTGTAAAAGTGGCAAGTGGTCACCTGATCTCAAGTGATAACCGGTTGCAGATGCGTTGCCACCTATTTACTTCAGTTTTCACTTAATTTCATATTTAGTAAAACTTTAACAAAAATAAGTTAAAACCTAAAAATACCTCGTTAGTTATACAAGAATAATATTTAGTACATTTTTTTTTACGTTTTTAATTAACCTAAATAGGGGAAAAGTCTGTAATTATATTGAAAGGTCCAGAAGAATGTGGTTAACTAAAACGGCCTCTAGTTAACCAATATTCTTCAACAACATGGCAACTAAAAGATTTGCATTGCAAACTATTTCTTGATTCATCGTTCTTATTGACTCGTAAACTTTATTGATCCAATCATTTAGGATAATAATCTAACAAGAACTATAGGTCCTATGAAGCCTGATTAAAGGGGCACTCTGGTCCTTTGTTGTAGAGCGGTGGTTACGGCCAAGGCACTTTGTTTTCTCTGCGCTCCCGGCGTCGTTCGGGCTCTTTCCTATCATTGGAGCTCACCGGTCGGGGGGCCGCTAGATTAGTACATGCCGGGGCCGGATTATCCCGCTCGATTTACTTAGCGGTGCCATTATACGACTTTCGTTGGCATCACATAGCTATAAGGTGGGTTGTATTATTACTGTTTAATTGGCGATGCTTGAATGAACAGATAATATTTTAGTAGCTGTTAAAGTAAATAAATTGAAGATATCAAGTCTAATGGATACACAAGTAACACATTCATTAACGGTTTATCTTACAAGGAACGTCACAAATGAAATCAACTATGAGTTTTGTTGTTTTCGTCAGCAGCTTTTAAAAAATTAAAATTTTCTCTTACTCACATTATTCTGCAGATGAAACAGATTCAAATTTTAATTCCCTTTTTTCCTCTTTAGCGTTCATGACGATAATACGGTCCGCGTTTACGTCGACTGCCGTTGGTTGAGGACAGATGTCCTTGAAAAGGATGCCTTAGATACACCGAGGGACGCCGATCTCATTATAGGCTATCTTTTCTCGGTAAGTGGAAGCTTTATTAAATAAAATCACAAGCCGTGCACGAAAAAGGACATCGTAAATATTAACACAGGCCTCGCGAAAGGTTTTTTGGAGCCTCTGCGTCGTGATAGTAGGTATTTATGTGCTCAAAGGTAATATTTTCGCAAAGTTAATGTTTCTATTCTCTGAAATAAAATAAGTCTATAAATGTTTAATGTAGAAAATAGATAGGTATTCGAAGCTTTCTTTTTACTTTCCTCCATTACTTTATAGCAAAATGCGCTGGTGTAGTTTTTGTCTATCTTTGATCAAGTGATTGCTAATTTAAATATTTTACATGTGGAATATTCTAAGATTCTCTAGGTTAGTGTCAGGAATGTTTTTGTTACAATGATTAATTAATGGATTTAAATTTGAACACAGGGAGACCTCGAGCAATTAGTGTTGGTGCCAAAAGCGGGTCAGGCTCATAAGCAGTGCTCAAGCCAAGCAGTGGATATATTAAGCCCACCTGAAACATAAGGAGAGAGGCCAAAATTTTTTGACGGAAGTATGATATTTCCATTCAATGACTTTCAAATTGTTCTGAATGCCAAATTAATTTCTAATAGAAATGAAACTAACAAATTGTATTTCAAGTTTATTTGAAATAATTATAGTGTAATTTTGGTTGGTGCATAATTAGAAAATGTGCAACATTTTCTGCCGTATTAGTTTCCAGTGATGATGAGATTTTAATGTTGCGATACGATGCTATCCTTTCCTCTTATGTTATTGTTAATTATTTAGAATTCAAAATAGATAATAAAAAAGTCTCAAACATGAACTTTCAGTAAACTGTTCATTTTTTAAGAGCTAGTGTATTAGCCATCTAAGATTACATCACTACCATGAGATGATATAAAACGTGAGAGAAAAATGTAATAAACTCTGTTTTTCTTACCCTATCATTTTTTTAAACATTTTAAGATGTATAATTGGTTAATTTCATAAATGGAACGAAGTAGATATTTTGCATTTCACAGCTCTTATATTGCGGTATATTAAATAAAAAAACGTTCTTATTGCAGATAATGTAAATAATCCTAGATTGTAAAGTTCATTAATATATGGTCAATAACTGTATTAAAACTTACTGAATTAAATAAATATTATACAACGTTGTGATATAACAAACAAATTGTATATGATTCGTAAAACAGTCAACTATTTTATTTCTATTATGTACTTTCAATTCTTTTCTGGTACTTATATTAGTTGCTCCTTTTTATCAATAAACTGTATGTGTTCCTCTTCTTAAAATTCATCATGAACGATTTGTGTAAAATAAAAGTGTAAAATTTTAACAAATCTGTTTAAAGTAAGTATAATACTATATACCATCTGAACTGGCAAATATAGATTTCTTTTGACTGTTGAAGTAGCTGTTGTTATTATTTATTATAGTCGAAATAATTTGTAGTGTTATATCGTTGCTACAAGTATATTGTGTAAGCAATGTAATGTATTATTAAGAAGTTTCTTAAATAAGTGAATAAAGAATTGGCCTACAACTGATCTGTTTTAATCATTTACTATCATTTTTTTTTAAAAAGCAACACAACCATTACTTTTTTAAAAGTTCAGGAGATAAAAGTTGTCTGAAAATATATCCTTTTAACTAAAAAATGTATATATTTTTCCCAACGTTTAACGTCGATGTATAAAATATTACAGTATTACACTTTTTATAGTCGATTAAATGAAGAAAACGAATGAAAAATTGTCATAAGAATGTTTACTAGAATATGACTCGTATATACGTAATATGTTTACTAGAATGTTACTAGGAAAGACTCGTAAAGAACGCAAATGTAATTGAAACTTTAAAAACCAGGATTACAAAAATGGAATGCCAGAGACGTAGTGTACCTAACGGTTTGTCTATTCTTCTGAATTCATTGGCTGCGTAAAAATCTAACCCCAATCAAATCTGACAAGGCTCGTTACGTTTGGACATCGTTGCCGCCAGTAAAACGAAAAATTGTGTATTTTCGTACTATCAACCTCCGTCCAAAAAGTAAAGATGTGGTGGCTATTATTTTCAATATAACGTTAATATATCTATGTAAATTTCAGCGCAGCTTGCCAAGCACATTGTATAATTTTTAGTTTATCCGGAAAAGTGACAAGTGGTAGAGTAACGCAACAGTTCTCTGTTGCACGAATAGTATACAAATCAATACCAATACACTTATTTTTATAAAATACAATCATGCACTTCAATTGGTATTATGTACATTACAACTTACCTAATTTGAATGACCCTAGATAAGCTAATTGAGCAACTGTTGAGTTTCTAGCCGGTCTCTTCTCAACAGAAACTGCAGCTTTTGTTACTATATAATTACACCGACTTTAACCACCATTGAAACGAAGTCTCACGACAATCTACAGAATACGTCGGTATTCTGTACATCGTAGTGAGAAGTAGGTCAAATGTATAAACACTTTTACTTGAGTTCGTGCAGCATGGAAGTCAACCAGAGACCCATTATTTCAACGACACATGGAAACTCCAAGTGCTGAAGATGTCCACGAGAGACCGACCGAGATCCATTACCGACAGATTCTTAGTGTGCCTCTTCTTGAAAGAAAATCGTCCAAAAAGTTATTTAAAATATATCACTACCTGGAGCAATGAATAAAAAAACAGACATTCTAGAAACACGTTACTGTACCTACTTCTTGTATTATTATCCATAAATTAAATAATTAATAACAAGAGGCTGTTCCAACTAAAATAATTCATGTTTATTTATTTTAATACCAAACTATTAGATAGTGATTTCTCACTTTAATAATGTCCTATAATATACAGAATAACACAAGGGGCTTGGGCATCATCGTCAACTTCAAATCTTTGTGGCTTGAAGTGACATAATTTGAAAGAAAGAAAGATAAGATAAGATTTGATAAATAAATGTATTTTCTTTCTTTCTTGAAATCACTTCATTTTTGATTTTGTGCTTGAGTTGCAGAAGCAGGTTTGCTACCAGTTAGTAAATACCAATAATGTCTGTGGGGAATAGAAAGGATACTGATGATCAATAATATTTTAATATTAGGTCGTCGATATGCGGTCTATGTCAAAACAATTTAAAGCCCGAAAGTTTATTCACATAGAATTATCATCACACAAGTCAGACATCACAGAGTAAAAATTATCAGACAGTTTTCAATGTTGTTATAAAAGTAATGATAAAATTTTGAGACGGAACATGAATGATGAAAGGCTTATTGATAAGCAATAACTAATAGCTTAGAGAAAAACTGTAATGGGAAACTGACGACCTTAAAAAGCAATCAATTATTTTGACGATTCTCCAATCGCGCGATTTATTTGATCTCGTTTCCTTTAAGATTAGAAGCTTTCGGAGAATTTCAATTACGATCAAGTTGTGCGTGAGTAGAATGCAAGGCTTTGCTTATTTATGGCGTATACGGAGAGCGGCATCGGTGTAGAAGCGGACGGAAAATTTTAATATTCTTGATATATTAAAACAAGCTCCATTGTAATACGTTTTAATATCGTGAATAAATACGAAAAGTGTATGTCTCTATATAATTTTTAATTATAAACTTTTTTTATTTAAATTTAAATTTATAAATATTAAAGTGCACAAGGACATATTATAAGAGTAAGGGCAGTCTTCGCTGTTGCACTAATGAAGATGCAGAAGTGTAACACTTCCATACAAGTGGAAGTGATACACTTCTGTTTTTCTTCTGGTGAGTGAGGTAAACGGGGCCCACTTTATCAAAAGGTGGCAACATTTCTGCGACTTCCAACTGTTCTTCCGCTTGATGTTAGTGTTCTGTGAGGTCGTAGTATCTCTAAGGACGAGCCTGAACATTCGTGCAACACTAAAGAATCTCTACCATAGAAAAGCTCGGAGTGTCCTTAACATTATGTACTGTTTTATTATTATTTCCATAAAATGCATAAATAATGTTACTACCATGAAACATTATTACAATAGTTTTAAATCTTTTTTTTTTTTCATCTTTTTATTTTTTTTAATGTACTGTGAGAGCCGGAACAAACCTTCTAGATCATTTAGTAAAGACATTTCCATCATGAAAATGGTGTTATTTCGTACTATGCAGTACCACGATGTGTCTCGGGAATTCCGTGGCGGCTTATAATAAATTATATTGCGTATATACGAGCGGAACGTGTTGAAGACCGCTTGCGATTTAGAACGTGCAAACGCCTCATTTGTCAGAATAGAGGGGAAATAAAAATAAAGTGCTTATCAAACGATGACTTTAACACCTAAATGCCATTTCACGTGTTTCCCATTAACTTAATTTGTTAGTATCTAACGTTCGTAGTGCCTTTTTATTCATTTTTGCAATTGTTTTTATATTGTTTTAAAAACTTTTAAATGAATTCTTGTATTTCAATGATAAAGTAATGTATCAGTATATTCATGTCATATACTGGGCAAAGGCCTCCTCAGTACAAAGAGTATCAGGACAATTTTACAATAATTTTCAATAATTTGATATTCATTCTACAAATCTTGGCTATAACTCGAAACATTCATTTTCTGAAAAATAAAGTCGCTGAAGGGTTGCGATCACAGCTAGCTGGATCAAATCCTGAGTTTATATTAATTACTATTAATTCTATTAATTCTATTTCTATTTCTAATAATTACATTACATTGTTTGGTTTGATTAAACATTTTAAGAAGAGACTGAAAATTATTTGAACATTTCGCTAAATAATCTCTATATATAAAAGTGAATCGCTGAATGTGTTGCTAAGCGCAAATCTCAAGAACAGCTGAACAGCCGATTTCGCTAATTCTTTTTTTTTTATAATATTCCTTAACGTACGAGGATGGTTCTTACGGAGAGAAAAATTAACAACACTTTTCTTTATTACCATACAAAATATTAGTAATAATACTTAAAAGTCAATTTGAAGTTTAATACCATTATTTTATTATATTATTTTCTATAAAGTTTACGTGTTAGTGAAGGGGCTCCGGTAAGGCAAAAAAATTGAGTGACTTTAGTATCGTATAAATATTAATGTCAATATTTATCATTTTGTAATAATTTTTTACTAGATAGAGTGATTCAAGAGGAAGGTTTATATGTATAAAACATTGCACCCGTGCGAAGCCGGGGCGGGTCGCTAGTAATACATAAATCGTTGAGATATCAAATGTTTTATGTATCCGTACACAAACAATCAAAACAATATAATGTAATAAATTCTTTATAAAAATTATTTTTTTATTACCATTTTCTTCCAAATTTTTAATTCAAACTACAATTATTTGATAAATAAATTTGTTATTAAAAATTCCGTTCCGTAAAGAACAAATAAATTTAATCGGTTTAATAGTTTCAATTATTTCCAATTTGGTTTTAAATACATAATGTACACTAAGACAGCAAACTAAGTCTTGATCACACAAATTTACAGGGTTTGTAGGTTTATCTCCACAAATATTAGATTG